ACAATGAACACAATAGCAAACAAACCCATTTACCCAAATCACAGCAACACAAAAATTAGAGAATATATACACAGGAGGATATATCCTAGACAATACAGAGTAGAGGAGCTCTCCCATTGGGAACAAAATAATTCAGAGACAGAGAGACAAAGACAGAGACAGAGAGACAGACAGAGTCCTAGATCTCACCCAAGGGAAACTCCTGCAATCTCCATTGTAGCTACCCGGAACAGGGACATGAATGGAGACTGCCAGCTCTTCTCATGTCTTTCTAGATGTGGTTAGGTATTTCTCCTCCCCCTCTGGGTTAAATTTCTTGAAAAGATCATTAACAATTGATGCCTCCACTTCTTTACCTCTCACCTGATTTTAAATCCTCTGCAATCTGGCTTCCCACCTCAACATTCAAGTGAAATTGTTCTTTCCCAGGTTCTCTCAGTAAAGTCATATGGTTGTGAATTATAGGACATTGCTATCTCAATTCAATTCAAAGAATTTCTTAAGTTCCTACTATGCTCCAGACACTGTGCTAGTCACTGGTCATATAAAGGTAAAAATGAAGATCCTTGTGCTCAAAAAACTTTCATTCCACTATAGGGGAAACAATGTATCTAAATAAGTAAATTATATATATATATATATATGTGTGTGTGTGTGTGTGTGTGTGTGTGTATATATATATATATATATATATATATATACACACATACATACATATATATGTAACATGGGTGACTCTGGCCCTACTCTTTCCAGGCTAGGCCTGTTACATTTTACCCTTTATGGCGTTTTCCAGTACTTTGACAGTATTAGGGAGTATTTTTTCTCTGTCATCAGCTAAAACCACACTGGCTTTGTTCATCCCTATTTTTAGGTGCCCAATGACTAAGAGCCCAGTTCCATTTAATATCAGGCTAGCTTGTGCAAAGGGTAATTTACTTCAGAGATAAAGCAAGAACATCACCCTTAACACTCCTTTAACACCTTGGGAACATAATCCTCCCTCCCCCACCCCTTACCAACTCACTGGGGGGATGGGTGATGAGGTTCACAGTTTACCTCAATTCCTACATGACATTAATCTCATTAAATTCAAGTTTAAAACTCAAAGTACTGGCTTCTGTTGAGATGGATCCCCTCAGGGCCTCAGTGATGGGATGATTGCAATATCCTGCCTAAATTCCTAGACCTCTGAGTCCCCATGGCTCCTGCTTCTAGGCCAGATTAGAGATTCCATTCCCTGTACCTAGAAAGGACAACAATAAATGAAAAGGCCAAGGACTGAGCTCTGTTCCTTGGGGTAACATGGCCTAGGTGCTTTGATAAGGGTTGGGGTGGGGAGGTAAAGGAAGTGCTAGGATCCTCCCTCCTTACTGCTTGGTCTCACTGGCTATGAGCTGAGACTCATTTTCTCCCTCACACATGAATGCAACAAAAAACCACGAGTGCTGAGTCAGGCAGTTTTTAAAAATGCCCAAAGTTTTGGCTATTCAGCCATTAGACAAAGGCTCTTCCAACAGCAGAGCAGGCCATTGCAAGAAGTTCATGTATGTTCTAGTCCTCACTAGATTCTCCTGGAAATAGGTCCCTAGTATCTTCCACATGGATGACGCCATCTTAGCATAACTGATGTATGCAAAATAATTCAAAAGTCATTCAAGAATAGGCAAACACTAACAACTGGAGGAATCAGGAAAAAATTTCTTGTAGGAGATGGCACTTAAACTATGAATTCTAAGAGGTGAAAAGGATTTAGGCATTGGTAATGATCTATGTGAAAATACAGAGGCAGCTAATGGAATGTTATATATGAGGAACAAGTCAACCAGTTTGGCTGGAATGTATAGTGGATGAGGGAATAATGTGAAATAACCCTAAAAAGATGACTAGAGCCAGATTGAGAAGGGATTTAAATAGTGGAGGAGTTTGAATTAGAAGTAATAGGAAACCACTGAAGCTTTTTGAGGAGGGGATTGGCATGGCCACACCTGTGCTTTAGGAATACCAATTTTGTTTCTACTTTTGTGGAGGATGGTTTGGATAGGGGAGACCAACTAGGAAGCAGTGGGATCAATAAGGAGGTGATTATAATTGTCCAGGCAAGAGGTGATGAAGTTTGAAAATAGTGTAGTGGTTGTATGAAAGGAGCAAAGGTGGTGAACGCAAGAAATATTGTGGAGGTAGAATCTACAAGATTTGGCAACTGATTAGTTATTAGGGGTAAGGTAGAGTAAAGAATCAATGATGACCTCAGGGATGTGAACCTGGGTTCCTGGAAGGATGGTGGTGTCCTCAACAGAAATAAGGAAGTTAGGAGGAGGGTTGGGATTAAGAGGAAAGATAATGAGTTTGGTTTGAGGACATACTTGAAATCCATGTGGAACATCTAAGTGGAGATACCCAGTAGAAAGATGGTGATGCAGGGCTGGAGCTCAGGAGACATATGAGAGATGGATATGGGTAGCTCTTGGATCTATCAGCATAGATGTAATAGTTGAACTTATGTGAGCTGATAAGACCATCGAGAGAGGACAGGACCCAGGACAAAAATGATGGGATACATCAGGGGGCTGGACATGGATAGTAGTCCTATAAATGAAAACGAGTGGTGGTCTCCTGGCAATTTTTATTCTCTTTTCCTTAGAAAATAAAATTACAAGTGACCCAAAGGTCAATGAAAAGACTTATGACTGCTAAAATTAGGCTGCAGTGTCTCACCAACTCCCAGAATCTCAAAGGAAGCATGGTACAGTGGAAAGAGTGCCGGGCTCAGAGAATCTGTGCTTAAATTCTGTCCCTACCTCTTACTATCTGGGTGACCTTGGATTAGTCACTTATCTGCTCTGGGACTCAGTTTCATCATCTCTAAACTCAGTGGGTTGGACTAGAGCATCTCTAAGGTTTGTTCTTTCAGCTCTAAATTTGAGATCTTATTAGGTAAATAACATTATTCATGCTATATATGGCCAGAAAAGGAGGGGGTTAAGTCATGTGACAATGAGGGATGCCAGACAGCATTTTTAAAAAATTAGTAAACAAAGTTTAATATGGTCTCATGCACCCTGAGGGAGGTGGTGCCTGATGTGGAGGAGTGGTTATTATATCCAAATAATCTTCTATTTGGAACTTCTAAGACTGTCAGGTCATGGAGTCCTCAGTCACCTTTCTGCTAGACAGAGTACTGCCCATCTGTTTCACTCGATGACAGGTCTTTTAATATCTTTAAAAACAATAGCAAAATTGAAGTGTCTGGCCTTCTTTCAAGCTTCTGGGTAGACCCATTTTACTAAATTGGTCAATTCTTTAAGGTTGTATCCATGTAGATCTGCAGCTTGCTTGACGGCATGTTTCTGCAGGAGAACTCTTTGAACTTAGTGGTTTCAGCCATTATTGATGGTGAAGATCCACAGAAGAAGTGGGCAATGGCATGTGTGTATATATATATGTATATATATATGTGTATGTACACACACACACACACACACACACGGACATATATATATTTAAATTTAAGAGGCAGACCTCCAGGACAGTGGGCAGATCTCCCCAGACCCTCATAGTCTGGCTTCTATCCTCACTGCTCTAGTGAAACTGAGGGTCAAATTGCCAAATTGAATCCATTCTTCTCAGTCTTCATTTTTCTTGAGCTTTATGTAGCATTTGACCAAGTAAGAATTTAATATGTTTGTTAAATGGAATTTGTAATAATATTAGAGTATTATTATTAAAAATATTATAATATAATGACATGTATTATTAATTATTAGACTTATTAAACTGTTATCATTCATTATTATTAGAGTAGTATGGCATGAATCTCAAGGAAAGACAAAGTCAGGATTTTTACTATCAGATTCTTTTCATTTTTAAGAATGACAGACATACATATTTCTACATACTCTATCTTATCTACTGTCCAGATAAACTATTGTTTCTAAATTTCTAAAATTCTAATGGCTCTAAAATATTGCGAATACTGTTTACTCTACTTGTGATTAATTTTGAAATTCATATTCCTAGTCAATAATTTTTTCTAATTATATTTTAAACTCCATTTATGTTGCCCAAATACCAGATCTGCAATTTTGAACTTAAAATGAACAACATCGCAGTAAGACCATATATCAACATCTAATAGACAAGCAATTTTATTATACAATAATATAATGTCACCCCACTCCCCCTTGGTGCTTAACACTTCGTCTGCTGGCTATAATCCTGGAGTTCATGGTTTTTGGAGGGAAGGTTTTTTGTTTTTGTTTTGTTTTGTTTTAATATGTAAAAGCTTTAACAGGATTCCTACTGATATTCTTCTAGGAAAGCAATATAAATGTTATTTCCCTGGTTCCACTCCAGGAATTTGTTGACCACCTCCTGGGTTTTGAAACTGCAAGAAAATCAACAACATCCTGTAGTTGGGGGAAGACTAGAGCTGGCCAGAGCTCCCTTCACCCTTCCTACGGTTCTCATCCTCTACTCTTCCTAACACCCCATCTGAACACTCCACTGTCATCTTGCTCCCTTCCCTGTTATTCTGCCCATTCCTTAAATGACTCAGAAAAGGCACAGTTTATTTGGGAAGGAAGTGATGGGGAACTTAAGGAAAGATGTTTATCCTAAACTATGATGCTGAGAACCTTATCCTCCCCACTCCTCCTAGTCCACAGCAGGGAACCATGACACTTCTTGAGCGATGAGGGGATGGATGTGAGTTTAAGTGTGTAAAGTTATAGAAGGAAAGCGCTTATTAAAGCATCTTAAACTACACACCATGCAGCTACTGGGAAGAGACGCTGGGGAGCAGGCTCTAATTCCTATAAAGAGAGACGGACAAACTAAGGGGCTCGATTCCCACCTGTGCTCCTAGCGCCTGGTGCATCGCCGACTCGGTAGTGGGGAGCAGTGGGGCGGAGCTCAGACGGAGGCGGGGCCAGGGGCGGGAGTTTCTGGCACTTTCTTGGTGCTGCGAGAATTTCAGGCTCAGACACAGAAGGCCAGAAACGCCGGCGAGGATCCGCTGCTGTTGCCGCTAGCTCCAGGCGGGTCCCCGTCCATCTCCAGTGAGGCGCAAAGCGGAGCTCGCCACTGTCACTGCGGTCTGAAACGCCATGGCCAAGTGGGGACATGGAGATCCGCGCTGGATCGTGGAGGAGAGGGCTGATGGGACCAACGTAAACAACTGGCACTGGTGCGGGGTTGGAGTGAGAGGACCGCAGGGACAGGATGGGACGGGACTGAGGACCCCCGCTGCAGGGGCGGGCGCATAGAGACTGGGGGAGGACAGCGTACCGGGGGGCTCCAGGGACCACGTTCCATCGCACACTAGGTGCACGTCCCGTTGCTCCCCATCAGGGTTCTGGAGCGTCCCTTACCCCTCTGCGTTCAAGCCAGTGACTCGGGTGATTCCGGGCTGCGGACGCCGCCTGCCTCTCCAAGGCATGTGCCAGCACCGTCCCATGCGTCCCTTGTCACCAGCCTCAGGATACCTTCCCCTCCTTTTCCTTCGCACATCCTGTGTGCGCTTGCCTGACCCATCCTTCTCCCTCCCCACCCCCGACCAGGTCTTCAGGTCTTTAGGCATGATAGATGCCCTAGGGGTCCTCTTCTTTACTCCCCCCCCCCCCCCAGTCCAAGGCGTACTTGGGTCAGGCCTCCTTTCCGACTGAAAACGTTTGCGGGGAGGGGGAGAGCAAGTTCTTTCACTTCTCCCTGAGATTGGTGGAGGGAGGGCAGTGAGAGAAGGGGTTTCTTGCCTCAGCACTCTTCTAAACCCCATTCTCATACCCAAGGCCGACACTTAGAGAAGGGGAGAAAAAGGGAGCCCCAGTTCAGAGTATTGATGGTTCTATGACCTTGGGTAGGTAACTTGACCTCTCTCTGCCTCCGTTGGACTCAGAAGTAAGGTGTGAGAAGGTGGTGAACGTGTCACAGGCGTCCTCTTCCTTTCTCTTTTGGGGATGTTGCGAAATCTCGGGGGAAGGAGACTTGGGGTCTGAGCAGGTGTAGCAGACATCAAATTCTCCATATCCCTGAGTGGCCTCCCATCTCCACAGAGAGGGCTGTAAATGCTGTGACTAGCTCTTCCTTTGCACTATATTTAACCCTGTGTGAAAGGGTGACTGGGACGGAAAGCACAGGAAATTAGAATGGGTGTTTCACAAATCTGACTTAAGAGGCCTGAAAGGGTGGTGAGCTTAGCTGAGAACCAGAAATATGTCCCTGGGTTGGAGTGGGAGGGGTGTTCCCCAGACTTGTTAGGGAACCTGTAACACTATGTTTTTTTCCTTCTAGCTGACTTTGCTGATAAAAATGGAACTAGTTATGATTTATAAGGTGCTTGTGGATGGTGCCTTCACCGTTGTGTTATTTAGGGGTTAGTCTGGGCCAATCAGTGCAGGTGGTTAGAAGGAGCTAGGTACTAATTAGGACAAGGTCATGGACCAGTTAGCTTTCCTCTGTTTTCTCCAGAAAACAGACATTTGCACAGCTTCTAAGCAGTTATGCTCAAAGGTTGGTTAAAGGCAGAAGTTGAGGCTTCAGTGGAAGCATTTGGATTATCTGTTTTACATCATGCTTGTTAGTACAAATTACTGATTGTTAAAGAGATTAAATGAGATAATATATGTAAAATACCTTAAAGCTATTTAAATGACAGCTATTGGGATCATAAATTTAGTGTGTGAAGGGACCCTAAAGTCTGTTTAGTCCAAAGCCTCTCCTTTTACAGATGAGGCCCAGAGAGGTTTAAATGATTTGTCCCAAGTCACATAGGTAGTGACGAAGCAGGATTTAAACCCAGATTCTCTTATTCCAAATTCAGGACTCTTTCCATTGTACCATGCTCATTATTGATTGTTATCCTTATGAACTTTTAAGTGCTGGTAGAGTTATATAATAATAGCTAATGTTTATATAGCACTTATATGTGTCAAACACTTGCTAAGCACTTTATAAGGTATCACATTTGATCCCCACAACAACCCAGGAAGGTAGGTGCTGTGATTATCCCCAATTTACAGATGAGGAAACTGAGACAAACAGAGGTTAAGTGTCTGAGGCAGGATTTGAACGCAGGTCTTCCTGACTCCAGGCCCACCACACTATATACCTGTACCATCCTAAATTCCATATACTCTTTAAAGTTTTTTCTCAGGAAACTGATGTGCCATATTCTTTATGACAGTGACAGTTATGCCTGAGTCTGGAAAATTATTCGTGCTGTTTTTTCAGCAGTGAGGATGAGTTTGACCTGAGTTCTCCAAACCTTTCCAGTTTCCAGTGACCAAGCATAGGTGACTTGGTTTGGAGGTGTGGCTTGGGCCAAGGCCCGTACAGGTGTATGTAGCAATCAAACTCAAGATCTTGGCCGCATTAACTCTAAATGCTGCCCAAGTTTTTTTTCCCTTCTGTGACTTCCATTGCATTGTTGCTTTATAGGTTACAACCACATACACTCCATCATTTGATCCTGGCAATGAGTTTTTTTCAAGTGAATTAGTTTAGCCTATCCAATAAGATTTTAAGTTTCTTGAGAGTCACAGTATGTTAGAGCTGGAAAGAATGAGAGTTTGTCTAGTCAAAGTCATTTTACAGAAGAGGAAACTGTGGCCCAGAGAGATGAATATCCCAGGAGACGTACAACTATCAAGACACACCCCAGATAAGCCTGTAGGAAAGCCCATCAGTATAGCTATTGTTTACCTCCTATGTGCTTAGTGATAACTCTCATCACTTTAAGGTTTGCAAGGCATTTCCCTCCCAACAATCCTGTAAAGTAAGTATTACTATCCCCATTTATAAAGTAAACAGTCTCTGAGAGGTTATACCAGATTGCCTTCTGATGCTATGCTAGGTGCCCTGATGTCATCCATTGTTGGACAGGCAACACTAGCATACAGAAAATAATTCAAGACCAGCATTAATTGAGAGAATCTATTGGAGAGGTCTTTGTAAACTGTAGAGCCAGATACAGGTTGTGTTCTTAGAAGACTAGATACCAGATAATTTGCTCAGTGTGGAAATTCAGAAGGGGGGAATTAGGGATGGAGGAACTTTGAGGTTCATGGAAGATGTAGCTTTTTTTTTTCTGAGCTTGGCAGGTAGGATTTGGTTAGGTAAAGGGGGAATGTCAGAGGACACTCTGGTGGAGCAGTGAGGGTAGGAGTGGGGTTGAGCATGCCAGTTTTGTAGGAGGAGTAGGTCACCCTGGCTGGAGTAGAAGGTTTGTATTGAGAACAGTGGGAAATTGGGGTTGGTTTGCTAGAGTGGCTCCGTTGCTCTAACCTGGCTTGTCTTCTCATTGTTCCAGGGAATAATAGACCTATATTCATTCCTTACTACAGCTTTTGCTCGAATTATTCCCATTTCCTGTGGTTACTTTACCCTTCTTCAACGGCACCCCACCCTTATCCTCCATGAAGCCTTTCCTGGTGACTCCAGGCTACCCTGACTGCTCCTTCCTCTGAGACCTCTATTGGCTCACTTCTTCACAGATGTATGGGCGCAAGGTCTATGTCTCATCTTCCCTACTAGACCAAAACTTCTTAAGGACATAGATTTCCTCTCACACTTTCCTTATGTTCCCCTCTGGGTTTCGTGGTGATTTAGTGCACTAGACACTTGCTAAATGTGGGTTGAATGAATGGATTTGGAGGAGGGATTTGGATGTCAGAACTGGTATCCTGGGGGCTCTTAAAGTTTCAAAGTGATACTTTAAAGACAAAAGTATTTCTTTACATACTCAGGAGTGAATATGGAACCTCAAGGAATGATATAGGCTAAATTTGCTGTATTTTCTTGTAAGCAAATTTCATAACAGTTTAGAGAAATCCATAGATGGCAGATTAGCAGTGGGCAATTGATTGAAATGATATTTTGAGGGGCAGTACTAGAGGAGAGCCCTGTTGCCTTATAACCCACTCCCTTGGTAACCTTTCAGGGGTAGAACTCTGGGCTGGACGGGAGGCAAGGCTGAACCCACCGTGGCACTTCTGTTCTTGGGTAAATCTCTGTAGTGAACTTCCTGCCAACAGGACAGAGCGGGACGCAACCAACTGGTCAAAGGGGAAGCTGCGGGAGCTCCTGGTGGGGGTCATGGTGGAGAATGAGGTTGGCAGCTGTGAGATCAGTGACCTGAAGCAGGTGGAAGGGGAGGCCTCCTGCAGCAGCCGCAAAGGGAAGCTGATTTTCTTCTATGAGTGGAACATCAAACTGAGCTGGAAAGGTAACCAGGGTGGTGTGGTATGGGACCCGTAAGAACAGTGTTAGGAGGACTAACGCTGAGAATGAGCTGAGGCTGATGAGGAAAGCTAAAGCAACCAAAAGAGTTTTTGGTGTTTTGGTTTTGGGGTTTTTTTTTTTAAACTTTTTTTTTTCTTGTTAAGCTACATTGGGAAAAAGAAGAGCAAAGAAGAAATAGGACCACTGTTAATTGTGGGTGGGATGATACCGTAACTAGTAACTGAGAAGAGGCAAAGATGCTCAACTCTGATTTTGTTTTCTTTGTTGCGGAGAACCATCTTTGGACTGAAAAGATCAGAACAAAAATGGCTAATTGGGAATTGTTACTCAAGGTAATTAGGAGCAAGGCAGAGGACATCTAGATGCCCCCGATAGATGAATAACGCATTTGTTAAGCACTTACTGTGTTGCCAGGCACTTGATGAGTTCAAGCTACCAGGTTCATATGAACTATATCCACAGGTTCTGAAAATTCACGGCAGACATAAGAGACATCATCAGTGTTTTTGAAAGGTTTTGGAGAACGGGAGACACATTATAGGATTCGAGTCGGGTAAACATCCTGGATTTCAAAAAAGGAAGGAGGATAGAGACTGTAAACTGTAGAGTAGTGAGCCTTGATTTTAATTCCTGGCAACATTCTAGAGTATATTATTGATGAGAAGTGTACTCTGGTGAGAGAGTTGTTTCACCTAGAGTCAGCAAAAGTCAGGTTCAAATCTTGCCTTTGAGGTTTTACTAGCTTTGTGATTCTGGCAAGCCATTTGACCTCTGTGCTTCTCTAGAATTTATCTACTGAGTCAAAGGTGGGCTGTACTGTGGTTGAGAAGTGTTTTTCTAAATACTGACAAAATTCTTCTCTGAGGAGGGAAAGAATATTCAGCTGTCAGAGAAAGCCCAGATTAAATGATTTAATGTGTACAGGCTTTGCAAGACTTAAAGTCTATATAAATAGAAATAGGGGTTGCAAAGACCCATCCTGACTTCTTCAAGAACAGATCATACCAGATTCTAACTCATTTCCTTTTTTAACACAGTTACTTTGCAGGTAAATGAGGGGAGTAGTGTAGATATAGTTTACCTAGATTTTACCAAATCGATAACAAAGTCGCTCACATTTTTTATGTGGAAGAGGTGGAGATGTGGTCAGGATGATTGTTCGGTGGTTTTGGAAATATTTGAATGATTGAGACCCAAAGGGTAGTAGTCATTAATGGTTTGCTATCAACTTTGAAGGTCTCTAGAGGAATGCTCCAGGGAATCTGTGCTTGATCCTCTGCTTTTTTCTTTCCTTTTTATTAATGACTCAGATAACAGCATTGATGTCATGTTTAACAGATTTGCAGATGACATAAAGCTAGGCAGGATAACTAACACACTTGATGGCAGAGTCACTGTTCAGAAAGATTTTGATAATCTAGTACATTGGACTTAACCTAATAAGATGAAGTCCAGTTGGGTAAATGTGAAATCTTAGCCTTGGGTTCAAAAAAATCAACTTCAAAAGCACAAGATAGGCTAGGCATATATACCTTAAGGACAGCAATGACAAAAATTAAGGCTTCACATTCATCAAAATGTTTATGGTAGTGCTTTTTGTGGTAGCAAAGAACTTGAAACAAAATAAATGTTTATCATTTGGGGAATGGCTAAATGGTGTGTGGATGTAATGGAATATTATTATGTAATGAACTTGAAAAAATCAATGTGATAAGTACCAAGAAGCATGGACATATATGAACTGACGCAAAACAAAATAATCAGAACCAGAACAACAATATACACAATGACGATTAGCTGGAACAATGTAAATGGAAACAACAACAGCAACACAATATTTGAAACTGAATGTTGCAAAATTATAATGACCAAGCTTGAACCAAAGAAGAGTTATAAGAAGATAGCTTCCCCTGGTCTTTTGCTGAAGTGGGGAATTATGGGTGTGGAATGCTGTATATAATGTTAGACTTTTTTGAAGTGTGAGTTTTACTCAACTTTTTTTCTTCCTTTTTAAAATTCTTTGTTTTAAATGATGGTTGTGTGAAGGGATCAGAGGAGGAATACAGCGGGAAATGTAGGTGATGGAAAACCAAAAGAGATCAATACAATTATTTTTTAAGTGCAATATAGGTGTGTGTAGGGGGGTGGGAAACATAGTTCCATCTGCAAAAAATCTGTGGGTTTTAGTGGATCAGAAGTGTGGACTCAGTAGTGTGGTATGGCAGTCAAGAGAGTTAATCTGATGTTAGGCTGCATTGAGAGAGGCTTAGTGTCCAGGACTAGGGAGATGTCTTGTTAGATCACACCTTGCAATACTGTGTTCAATTCTGGCACCACATTTCAGGAAGAATATTGATTGTTTGGAGAGCATATGAAGAAGCATGACTTAGGATGATAAAGGGACTCAAGATCATGCTGCATGATGGCTGGATGAAGGCACTGGGGATGTTTAACTTGGATAAGAGATAATACTAGTTGCTTTTGTGTGTTTGAAGGCAGTTATCATACGGAAGAAGAATTAAGTTGTCTAGCTTGGCTCCAGATAGCAGAGTAGAAGTGAAGAGTGGAAGTTATAAAGAGACAAGTTTAGGCTTGATGTAAGGAAGAACTTCCTAACAATTATGACCTGTCCAAAAGTGGAATTGGTAGCCTTGGGATGCAGTGAATTCTGCCCTCCATAAAGGGGTCCAAGCAAAGGCCAGAGGCCAACTTGTCAGGTGTGTCATAGAGGCACTCTTTTTCAAAGATGGGCTGAACTAATAGTCCCTGATGTCTCTTCCAAATCTGAAATCCTGCGATTTTGAGAGGCAGCAGGCATTGACTTGGAGGGAGCAGAATGGGAGATGAGGCCAGCCGTTCCCTGGCCTGAGGGAGTTGGGATTCTGATACGGTCACAGCTGGGGTTTTCTTCTATAGTGGGCTGCTCCGGTAGGTGATAGCAGCCTGACACATAGATTACAAGAAATTCTCCTCCAGGCTAAATACATAACGAATGCTTATTGATTAGCTGTTGTTGCCTAGGATGGAAGCTGATATTTAAGGGAAAGGTAGAGAGGGTTTAGGTCTCTGTCTTGGACTTAGGAATGCTTATGGTGCTATGGAGTTCCAGCTTTTTAGGTGGCTACTAGACTCAGTTTCCTGTAAAATGGGGATTATCATTCCCGCCCTGTTGTCCTCTTGTGGTAGTTGTGGAGATATGAATTTATAATTGGTGAAATGCTTTGGGGGTGGAAAGGAGAGGGTATAAGTACTTCCGTGTATTTATGATATGATTACAGTATCGCTGGAATCAAATATAAATTTCTCTGTTAGACATTTAGGGCTCTTTACAGTTTGGTCTCTTCTTGTCTTTCCAGTCTTCTTACACATTTCTCCCTTCCAGGCACTCAGTGGTTCAGCAATATTGGGATTCTTAATGTTTTTCACACAGGATATTATAGTTCTGGTCTCCACATCTTTCCACTGACTGTCCCCCATGCCTTCTAGAACGGCTCCTTTCCGTATTTACCAAGGTGCTACCTTCTGCAGGAGACCTGCCTGGGCTCCCCGGCTGTTAATTAATGCCTTCTCCTCTAAGATCACCTCCCATCTACTCTGTCTGTATTGTGGGTGTATACACACAGGCTCACCCCCCCCAATTTATGTATATATTGTTTCTTCCATTAGAATGCAAGCTTCTTGAGGATAGGGTATGTTGGATTTTTTCTTCTTTATATTAGAGCCTGTTAGGTGATGAAGGTGATAGAGTAGTGGATTTGGAGTCAGGAAGACCTGAATTTGAATGTTGCCTCGTTACTTGCAAGCCACCTAACTTCTCTCAGACTCCATTCCTCATCTGTAAAATGGGGGTAATAATAGCACTTACCTCACAGGGCTGTTTGTGAAGATCAAATGAAATAATATGTGCAAAGCACTTTGTCAGCCTGAAAGCTGCTAGGTAAATGTTAGCTATTCTTATTATCTCCAGTGCTTAGCACAGTGCCTGGCACATAGTGTCTATTGATGGATTGATTTTATAGTTCATTTTATTAGGTTTGAAGAGTAGTCAAGAGACATGATACATAACGATAGTCCATGACAGATTAGATAAACCTCTGAGATTGCTTTCTCTTCCTCATGGTGCCTGGAATGTCTTTTCCTCCTTACTTACCTTTGGAGCTCATCTCAAGTTGTTTTTTTTTTTCCCTTCTTTTTGCTAGGTAATGGGGTTAAGTGACTTGCCCAGGCTCACACAGCTAGTTAGTGTTATGTGTCTGAGGCTGGATTTGAACTCAGGTCCTCCTGAATCCAGGGCCACCTAGCTGCCCCCTCATCTCAAGTTTTACCTCCTCCAGAATAGCTGTGCGGCCACATGGCCCTTTGCTTTTCCTGACTGAGTGTGTAGTATCTAGACTTGGTTATTGTGTTTTGTCTTACATTGCTTTCTGTGTTTTTTATGTATCTGAGTCGTATCTTCCTGGTGACCTTGATTATGACCTCCTTGAGGGCAGGGACTATGACAGGTCTTCAACTGTTTTTTCTTTTTTCCCTACGGCATTAGTTATGATAAATATTTGCTGAGGTTAACTGGGGAAGAGCAGCATATAGATGACCTTAGAATCATCTTTCAATACTGGATTGTCCTTTAATGCTTGGATATTTTCTCAAACTTGGAAATTATTTCCTTGTGGGTGTACCCAGTGAACAGAAGGGAGCACACATTTATCAAGCACCCTACTAAATACCTGTGCTGAGCAATTTACAAATATTTGCTCATCTGAGGCTCACAACAGCCCTGGGAGGTAGGTGCTTTTATCATCCCCCATTTTATAGTTCAGCAACTGATGCAGATAGAGGTTAAGTGACTTGCTCAGGTTCATTCAGCTGGGAAGTGTCTGAGGCTGGGTATGAACTCAGGTCTTCCTGAGGTCCTTTATCCAGGCCCAGCCCTTTACCTAGTGTACCACCTAGCTGCCTCCAACAGCTAGGTACCTCTAACAGAAACAGAAGTTTTCTGTGAGTTTCTGAGAGGCTTGAGTATCTAGTACTGGCAGAAATTTTCCTCGAAGCCTCAGGGGTGAGCCTCCTTTTCCCCAAATCACAAAGGGCCCAGTCTTCCACCTTAATAGAGCTTTTGTAGTCTGTGGCTATTTCAGTAAATCCAGGCATTGTCATTAAGATCTCAGAGATGGCACTATATGTCTAGGGAAGATATTTATTGAAGGCAGGGTCCTGAAAAATGGAAATGAAGTTAGCCCTTGCCAGAATTAAGAAGTGGATAGACCTCAGCATCCTCCCATTTTCATCACCTTGGACCAATCCACTTATACCTTCTGCTGGTACAAAATTTAGATAAGCCATAAATACAGATAATGACAAAACACATTATTATATTTTTAGCACATTCAGGAATTGTAAAACAAGGTGGTTTGGGGGAGAAACAAAGGTACAAAAGGGAAGGTCATTTTCAAAAGGGGAAAGTGAGAGTGAGATATGATCAGAGAAAATTTGATGGAAAAGGTAGCATTTGAATTGGATTTTAAAGGCTAAGCAGAAAATCATCAAGTAATGAGAGGGAGGAAAGTGGCCATTTCAGGGTATAAGAAATGGCATGGGGAAGCATGGAGGTGGGAGAGCACAGGGCATTTACAAATACCAAAGCTTACAAATGGTTAAGTTCTTTGATGACCCTGGATGCCCAGTTTGTTTTCTGTGTGTGCTGTAGTTTGTAAATGTGGCATCTGGAACTGTACATAGTACAGTTCATAGAGTTGCTGGCCACCAGTACTGTTAATGAATTATAACAAAAAATTAAACATTTTAAAGCCTTATTATAAACATGCATACTTGTGTTAATGCAGCCTGGCAATATATAAGCTTTTTTGCTTACCATATCACATAGCTGACTCACGTTGACCCTGTAGGCCAAAAAAGCTCAAGGCACTTTTTGATGTATCCCATTTTCTGAAAGCTTCTGTCCTGTGTAGAAGTTGGGCAGTTGATTTCTTTAACTCAAATGCAAGGTTTTATATTTTTCACTATTAAATTAAATAATAACATCTTCAACTTTCTTTTTAGTCTGTCAAGATCTCTTTGGATCATGACTCTGTCATCTAGTGTATTAGTGATTTCTCTCAGCTTTGTGTTATCTGCAGGTTTGTGAAGCATGCTATGTATGCCCCCACCCAAATCACTGATAAAAAAATCACTCCACTGTAGACCTTCCTCCAGGCTGACACCAGTTATTTAGTCACTACTCTTTGGGTCTTGTCGTTCAGTCCAGTTCTGAGTCTGCCTAACTGTACTGCTGTCCAGCCTGCATCTTTCCATTTTCACCACAAAGCTGCCCGGAGTGACTTTTATTTTGTTGAACTTGAGGTAAATACTGTCCCTCGATCAATCAATCTAATAATAATCCTGTATGAAAAAGGAGATGAATTTAGTCTGTCATGACTTGTTCCCAATGGATCAATGCGCCTCACAGAGAAGCACCAGTGAACTCTTATGTGTTTCATTAGTGGAGACTTTCCTGACTTGTAGCTGATAAAACTCTCCGGCATTGTTTTGGTGGAAAAAGAACCCAGCATAGCCATTAATTGTTAACCCCAAGTCTGGTGCCATTACTGGCTTGGCGGTGGATTTTTCTAATCCCTGGATTTGGAAAAGGTGGCCACCTCTTCCTGGTGCTACGAGAAATCTGAAGGAGTGTGTGTGTGTGTGTATGTGTGTGTATGTGTACATATATATACCCATGTATATATAATATATTGCAATATTATACTGTATACATGTTAACCTATGTATCTATTTATATCAATCTATCTATAATTATATAAATATATGCACATTATAAGTATGTTATTTGTTATATAAATATAATAGATTCATTTATATGGATATTTTAGATATTATGTACTTAATATAACATAGGAATGCAAATTCAAAATATACATTTATGTAAGTGTATTCCATGTAGATATATTTAAGATTTCTCTCTCTACATATATAATGTGCATATATACGTATAATGTAATATTATATATGTTGTACATTCCAACACACACACACACACACACACACACACACCACACGCCTTTTCAAGGCTGCTCAATATTCCTTTGAGCATAATTTCACCCAGATAGAAATGTAGCAAGTAGGCTAGTAGGTTGTGCCTTAGGTCCTGGTCTTCCTACTCAACAGTCTTCCTGGATAGTCTTTAAGGCCCACATAACAGGCTTTTTAAAATATAGTGCTCCTTCCCTTCCCTAGGTTGATTGTTTATTGACTTGAATGGTGGGACTGTCCATTGTCATGGGGATACATTTTGGGGCAGGCAAAACCCTTTGATAACCCCTGCTTACCCACCCATAGATGGAATAGAGCTGGATGCTGAGAAGATAGAAGAGCAGGAGATTGTGGGAACACCACATATGTTTGGTACAGCAATGGAGTTTTCAGTTGTTTGTTACTTTTGTTTAAATTGCATCAGAGTGCTGTGTGGGCTAGGCAAGGAGAGGCTGATTTTTGTTTATGATGGGTTTTGATTTTAATTGAAGAATTCATTTTGTCCTTTTTAGGTATAATCAAAGAATCTGGTGCAAAGCATAGAGGATCAGTTGAAATACCCCACCTTTCTGAAGAAAATGAAGTGGATGATACAGAGGTATGTGGTCCTATATTTAAAAAAATTTGCTGTGGAAGTTGGGCACTTGGAGAATTGCTTATCCCATGGAATCGTTCCATTTGGCAGTATTATTGAATTACAATTGTCACATTGTTTTAATGAGTGAATTCTATTAGTCTAGTGATATTTTCCTCTTCTCCCTTTCCTTCCCTTCTCCCAGAGTATTTCCTGTGATATTGTTGCTTTTCTGTAACACTGAATAACTTTTAAAGAAAATAGCTGTTCCCTGGTTAGTTGTGACTTCCTCGGATGTCTTTGGCCTTTCATTAAATGAACTGGTGAGAGTTGCTTATCAGAGAAATCCCTCTTCATTACAGGTTGCACCATACATGGAAAACTTCTGAGGGAGGGAAGCTAGTGCCCTTCTTAAGGGGTTTCTGTGCCATGCTGAGAAAGTACATAATGGTTTGGTGGACGCATTGGCTTTGAATTAGAGGACTTAGCTTCAAACCCCACCTCCGTTGATTACTACTTATGGAAAACTGGACAAGTCCCTTAACTTCCTAGGGCCTTCTATAGTTTTTGCATCTGTAAAATGAAGAGGGTGACAAGATGGCCTCTGAAGCCCTTTGCATCTCAAGAACTATGATCCTGTGATTGTGTTATTTTAGTCTTAGGTCTCTGGAGAAGCTTTTTACAAAAGGAAACCTATTCAACACACTGTGCTGATTCTACTGTTTTGAGATCAGATCTTTAGTAGGTTCATGTTTTTATGATTTATAGATAAATGTGAGTAAAAAGAAAGGAGATGGAGATTCACTGAAGGAGCTTATGAAAACTGCAGGAGTGGCCAAGGTCAGAGAAGCCCTTGAAAATTACCTGAAAGCCCTGAAGACAGGTAAAGCCAGTAAGCTGTTGTGTGGTCTTTTTTTTTTTTTTTCCCCTGTTTTACTAAGTTATCCCAACCTTCATCTTAATTCTCAAGTTAGTTTAGTATAATACCAGACTCTTCAGGAATAAATATAACTTTTTGCTGGAGGATTAAATTTTATTCTGGAAGAATGTAATTGATCACTGCAGAGACAACAGAGTTTTGCTTGGTAGGCAGAATGCGCCTTTGTGGATCAGTAGTGGCCACATGCTAAGTATGGTCTCAAAAAAAAGTACTTTTGGTGGCGCAGTGGATAGAGTACAGGCCTTGGAGTCAGGAGGCTGAGTTCAAATCCAGCCTCAGACACATAACACTAGCTGTGTGACTCTGGGCAAGTCACTTAACCCCAATTGCCTCACAAAAAACCAAAAAAAGTACTTTTCACACAATGTGTACTTATAAGATGTAAGCAGTGCTTTTCACACTATGGGTACCTATTTAACACATGGTCACTACTTATATACAAGGTCCCATTTTTCCTACATAAATTCATATACAACATTACTTATCTGGGGGTGGTGGTGGTAGTGGTGGATTAGGATCATAGACATCCTGATAGAAATATCCTGATAATCCCTGTGGTGGATAATTAATAATAACTGAGGAAACACTCCGAGCTATATGATTTATTAGTAAAACAGGTATAATAAATGGGTCAGTGGACTCCCCAGTCAGTCTAAAGACCCTGAATATGAGTTAGACAGATTTTTATGTATTAAAAAACAATGTTTCCAAAAGGCTAATTAGTTAAATTAACCAGGATAAAAAATTAGGTAATCTGATTTTTAATTGGAGGAAAGATTCCTAATTGGAGGAAAGATTCCTAATTGGAGGAAAGATTGAGGACTTTCCAAGTTGGGAGGGGGAAAGTAAACAAGTGCAACTTGCCGAAACTGGAAAAAGAGGCGTCACATTCCACCCAACTGTCTGTATTCAAAGAAACATGGAAACAATAACTGAGTGACCAGTGTGGAAGAAGTTTTCAGATAAGACATATGAGTGGCCTGAGACAATTAATTGTGAGAAAACTCCTTGCATCAGTCTTTGAATGTGACTGGGTTTCTGGTCATCATAATGTAGTCCTTAGTTAAGGGTCTCTAAGCAACAGGTAGAGGTGATTCAGCTTCCCAGCCATGCAGGGACAGGTTAAAACAATGCAATACAGTTTTCTCACAAGTCTCATAATTGAATAAAGTGTTTTGTTTTTTTTCCCACAAGACAGAAATTGAACTAGACCCATGTAATTGAATAGAAAGGAAACTGAGCTAGCTCCGGCATTGAGTCACAAGATGGAGTTGATGTAGTTCAGTTAATTCCCACATCCCCAAGTCATGTTTTAGTCTGACATTTCTCACCTTGGGCTCTGTAGAACCCTAATGTCTTCCATGATGTAAATTCAATTTCGTAATATTTCAATGCCTACAATATGTAAGGAAAGCTCCCTGCCAGCTAGAATCTAGAAAGACAAAAATGACATAGTTCTTACACTCACTGGGGCTGGGCGGAGAGGAGTGGAAAGTGGGCAGGAGATTAGGGGACATATACAGGTGTGATAGAAGGTGGGATGTGATGGGGCATAGGATTAGGACATAAACAGATCTTTTCTAATCCAGTGGCTACTGTTGTATTTTCCAAATTTGCTGGTATATTGAGTACAGCACTTTAATAGCATCATCTTTTAGTATTTTAAATAGCTCAGTTGGAATTCCATCGCTTCCACTAGCTTTATTGTTAAGCAATGCTTCATAAGGCCCACTCCACCATTCTCCAGGATGTTTGGCTCCAGATCAGTAGCCACACTATCTGGTTATCAGTAATGTTAAGATCTTTGGCGTATAGTTATTTTGTGTATTCTTGCCACCTCTTCTTAATCTCTTCTGCTTTTGTTAAGTCCCTACCATTTGTCTTTTATCATGCCCATTTTTGCATGAAACTTTCCCTTAATATTTCTAATTTTAAGTGACTTGCCCAGAGTCACACAGCTAGTGAGTGTTATGTGTCTGAGGCTGGATTTGAACTCAGGACCTCCTGACTCCAGGGCTGGTGCTCTTTCCACTGTGGCACCTAGCTGCCCCAATATTTCTAATTTTCTTTAAGAGATTTTGTCTTTTCCATTTTATTGTTTTCTTCTATTTCTTTGCATTGCTCATTTATGAAAACTTTGTTATATTTCCTTGCTACGCTCTGGAATTCTGCATTCAATTGAATATATTGTTCCTTTTTTTCTTTTACCTTTCATTTTCCTTCTTTCCTCAGCTACTTGTAAAGCCTCATCAGACAGCCATTTTGCTTTTTTGTTCTTTTCTCTTTGGAATGTTTTTGCTGTTGCTTCCTGTATAATGTCGAAAACCTTTGTTAGTAGTTCTTTAGGTACCGTATCTACTGGATCTAATCCCTTAAATCTATTCATCACCTCCACTTCAGATTTATAAGGGATGTGATTTAGGTCATACCTATATGGTCTGATGGTTTTTCCTACTTCCTTCACTTTAAATCTGAATTTTCAATAAGCAGCTTGTGATCTGATCCAGTCAGCTCCAGGTCTTGTTTTAACTGGCAGTGTAGAGCTTCTCCATCTTTGGCTGCAAATTATATAATCGGTTTTATTTCCATATTGACCCCAATGGCATATTAGACAGCTTCTGACCTGAGGGGCTCATCTTCCAATGCCATCTTTTTTTTTTATCACTGTCCATGGGGTTTTCTTGGCAAAGACACTGGAGTGGATCAGTTATTGTCAGAGCTCTCCACTATGACCTGTCTGTCTTGGGTCATCCTGCATGGCAAAGCTCATAGTTTCATTGAGCTATGCAAACTTCTCTGCCATGACAAGGCAGTGATCCAGGGTGTGACTTAAATAGGGATTGTAATTTCTTCGGTGTGGGACACTCTCTCTGTTGACCGAGATCATGGGTTTTAGGAATCCAGGGTCACCTCCTTGACATGAAAGATCAGAGTAGGAATTTTGTGGCAGGTATCACTATCATCAATTATCAAGTAAGATAAAATTCATATAACTGGATTTTATAAGTTCCTTGTTTAGATCATGTTTTATGATTTGCAAAATAAATGGCCTCATTTAAGCCTTTCATCAACTCTGTGAGATGATTAATGTAATTATGAGCCCCATTTTATAGATGAGGAAATTCAGAATTAGAGAGGTGAAGGGACTTGACCAGGGTTACACAGCAGCTAAGTACCAACAGAGAATTGGTCCCAGGTCCTTTCAGTACAAGTCCAGTGCTCTGTCTGGTTCCTATTAGTAATAAATAATATGCTGATGAGGAGACTTGAAACAAAAGTCAAGAAAACTCACCTCATAAAAAGGTATTTTAATACATCTAGCTTCTCTAAGTAGTTATCCGGATGGAGAGAGATATGTTAAATAGGCTTGCTTGAAAGAACCTCAGGAGGCAGCTAGGTGGTTCAGTGGATGAGGGCTGGGCCTGGAGACAGGAAGACTTGAGTTCCAGTGTGTGACTCTGGGCAAGTCACTTAACCTCTGCCTTAATCCATTGGAGAAGGAAATGGCAAAGCATTCCAGTATCTTTGCCAAGAAAACCCCATGGACGGGGTCACAAAGAGTTGGACATAATTGAATGACTAAACAGTAACAAACTAATGAACCTCACGTTTTTCTCAATGTGTCATTTCTATAAACTCTTTCAATTCCTTTTGTAGCTTTGGCCCCTCTGCCTAACCCATGTGCGCTTTTAAAGAAATCTTTAGTTACATGCCTTTTTTTTTTAATAGAATTTACAACAGGAATGATTTTACCAACAAAAATTGCACCTACTCGAGAACTGACTGCAAAAAGGAAATTGAGTGAACATACTTTTCAGGTAAGGGGTTTGTTAGCTGCTGGGAAGAGGGTGACTGTGAGAATGGTTTGGTGGTACAACTGATAGGGAATGCCAGAAGTGTGAATGGGACATCTAACCCATCTGTTTTGATAGTCTTCCCTAAACACTATTTCTTTTATATACTGGCCACCTATTACTGAGGAACTAGTGGACTAGAATTTATGTTTTTGTAGATGCACAAGCTGGGGCTTTGTGGGATCAGCAGCAGTGTATTTGAATTTCCCCACCAGAACTGGAATCACTAATGCCATCTGAAAAGCCAGTGTTACCATCCCCTTGCTAGTTTAGAGGCTATAGAAGAGAGCACAAAGTGTGTTTTGGGTTATTTTTAACCTTTTTATACCAGATCAGGAGAGAGTGGCCTGTCCTTTCTAAATGACCTTCTGGATATGTAAATTTGAAATTGGCTTTCTAGGTTCCCAGGTGAGGGGGCAAATCCAAACCTTACCTTTAGTGCTAACCATTATATGCACATATCAGAGATGCCTAGAAAAGGGGTTATGGGCTGTAATTTATGACTAAATGTACATAGTTACAAAAATAAGTGTTTTCAGGTTGTGGGCTTTAGTAGCCCACAAAGATAATTGGCAATTAATAGATTAAATCCATGACTCAGGAATCTTTAGTAACAGATTTTATCCAACTGAGCAAACCAGCAAGGGGGGTAGACAATAGAGTAATCTACTGGTATCCTCATTAATTGTCCTTTGGGGCTTTTTTTCTGCTTGGGCTTCAGGATTTGATGTCTCCAATGGCTCTGGAAGCAGTAGGTGTGAGGATTCCCACAGTGACAATACATATGAGGGAAATGTTTGACACAGCAGTAGAACAGCTGTATAGCATCTTCACCACTAAGGATGTAAGTGTCCCTGAACATCAAATTTTTGAGATGGGAAAATGAACTGCTTTTTGGTCATGTTCCTAAAAGGCTGTAAGACAAAGTTTCTTCTAACAAGGGATGGAGAGGCAGCTTCTCTCTCATTAACTACAAGGAAGAAATAAGGCATTTTAAGTCATATTCAGCTTGAAGCATTTCTTCAGTTTCTCAAGGAAAGACTTTTTAAGACAAACTGAAGATATTATTAATTTTTAGACTTATGATTGTTCTGCCCATGACTTTGTCTAGGTTAAAAACTAAACTGATAGCTTAGGATGTGCCCTGCAGTCTTCTCATTACAAAGTGTTATAAACCTTGACTTAACGTAAGACCTAAGAACAACCCCACGGCTTTTTGTGTATATCTTGTTTGTTTAGTTGGTGCAAAAGTTTTCTAAATCTTCTGCTGTGATAAAAGCTGAAAAAGGAGGCAAATTCCAGATGTTTGATGGGAATGTTACTGGTGAATACCTAGAACTGGTAAGTTAACACTTAAGTTGAAACTTGAGAAATTGCTTTGTTTGGGGCCCATTTCCCCCAGTGGTAATAGCTTTCCATTTCCCTCCAAGTCCCTTTTCTCCTTCAAGACACAGATCAAGCACTGTGTTCTGCATGAGATGTTTACTGATACCAAATGGTAGACTACCTTGTATTTTAATTACTTTGTATATATTTTAATTTAATTAACACTTTAATTACTTTATATGTATTTGTATTTAATTACACATACCCACCACACACCCACACCACCCCTGCCCTGATACAAATGTAAACTCTTAACAAGTTGCTGTGCTTGTATAGCCAATGCCTAGCACGGTACTTGGCCCCTAACAGGTACTTAACCAAAGTTTTTGACTGACGTGGTTTTTTGTTTTGTTTTGTTTTCTAATGGAGTTGAGTTCATATACCTCATAAAAGAAAACGTGTATTAAAAATCAGGTTGGGGGGGGCAGCTAGGTGGCACAGTGGATAGAGCACTGGCCCTGAAGTCAGGAGTACCCGAGTTCAAATCCAGCCTCAGACACATAACACTCACTAGCTGTGTGACTCTGGGCAAGTCACTTAACCCCAAATGCCTCACTTAAAAAAAAAAAAAAGCATGTTGGGGCAGCTAGGTGGCACAGTGGATAGAGTACCGGCCCTGAAGTCAAGAAGACCTGAGTTCAAATGCGGCCTCAGCCCAAACACTTGACACTTACTAGCTATGTGACCCTGGGCAAGTCACTTAACCCCAATTATCTTAAAAAAAAAAAAAAAAAAATCAGATTGGGACATACAGCCCATATCAGTTTACTAATGTCCCGTACGGTTTCTGTGAATGCTTAGATTTATTTTGCTTGCTTTTGTTTCCAAACTAGTAATCTGCTTTTAAAGAACCAAAGACAAATAAAACCTTGAACTTTCTCCTATTTTGAGTGAGTGGCCAAGGTAGCCAACTTCTGTCAGGAGAGGGACACTTGTGGCTATACTGGCAAATATATCGGCTCTTAGCTTTGTCCTTGACATTGTGGTTTTAAAGCATGCTCTAATAATGCAGTTAATGATCTAGACTGTACCTATGTTTTTTCCCCCTTAATTCTTACAGTTTTAACTTGATGGGTTTGATGAAACACTAGTCTTGGAAGTAATTTCAGGGTAGTTTCTTTTTACTTGTTTTCAGTTATCCAATAAAAGGATTGTTATGAAGTGGCGATGTAAGAGCTGGCCAGAGGGTAAGTAGTTCTTGCCTCTGCTTTAGCCTAATTTTAACAAGAAGAATCTGTAACAAGAAAAAGAACAACCCTCCCAATCCCTACCCCCGCCCATAGCTCATTTAAATAACGCTTTAAGGTTTGCAAAGCACTTTTCTATGGCAACACTCTGAGGTGTGTGGTGCCAAGTATTACCCCCACTTTAGAGAAGGAGATGATAATGTATCCGTAGTTCTTTTGGTAATACAGATTCCTGCTAGTTTGGAGTAGAGGTCCTGCCATCCCATATCTCGCTCCACCTCTAGCCTCCCTCCCTAATCTCTCTTAAAAGAAATCTTAGGAACTTACCTGAGATGTTTCCAAGTACAAGTCAGGCATAAAATGTATGTTACCTTCTCCAAAACTCTTGATTCTACCAAGCCCATATTTATTTATTAAAATACATCAAGCCTAGCAGTATCAAATGAGATTTTTCTTTTTGAAAAAACAATATACTTTCTATTCTGTTTTCAGAACATTATGCAACTGTTGCACTGATTTTTGTGCCTGTGGTAGGACAAACAGAGTTACAGCTAAACTGCAAAGGAGTTCCAGTTTGTAAAGAAGAAAGTACGAGACAGTGCTGGGAGAAGCAGCATTTTGAAGAAATAAAGAGATTTACTGTAACTTTTGGCAACCCTGAACAGTTGGATTAGTTAGAAGACATTTTATAATGGTATTACACTTTTTTATAAATGGGGAAAAAAGTTCATTCTTCCCTAAACTTCCTTTTCCCCCCTTTTTAAAACAAATACAAAACCCCTATTTTGTGCTAGCAAAAATTCCATCAATATATACATAATTTTAAGTGTTATTTATGAGTCTTCACTGTGAACAAGATTATGGATCTACAGTTAAAAACTGTGAGCAATTTAAAATAAAACAGTCATTTTTGTCTAATGACCTTAGCTGTTAAAAACTCTGGGACTGAACTGGCAGTTTTGAACACTGGGTTAGTAGTCTAGGTTTCCTAATCTAAAGCTTGGGCCATCAGCTCAAGTCTGTAAGATAGTATAAATCAAAGTTTTTGTGTTTTTTCCTCAGGGAGTTTGGGGGTGGTAATTCTATGCAGTAAAGGGCATGTTACAACCAGAGCAAGACTAGCCTGGGTAAGGCACTTGTTCTTCTAAATTCTCTTGGCACAACTGGCCCCTCAGGAGAGAAAAGACCATGTGATTCTGGGTGGTGATGGAGACACCTGGTCTAAACTACGTAGCCCTACAAGTAAGGGGAAATAATTGCACTTACTTAGCAGCCTTGAAAAGATCTGAGAATGAAAAGCCTTGCCTTTTAAATCTAATTTTCTACCTTTAAATACAATTAAATAAAACATAATAGATTCCCTCCCTTCCCTCCCTAGTTCCCCTGACCCCATTTATTTACCTGAAAAATCTGAAAACTGAAGCAACTTAAGTAAACAAATGAAAAGTCATCACAATCAGTTTAATGAAGTGCACAGAATAGCATCGGTCATGTCAATAAAAATAAAACAATTATTTTTACATCAAGTGTGCTTTATTTCCTCCACAGGTATTCTGTTAAATAAAGCACCATATATATACTGCCAGGCCACAGCTAAAGAGGATTCTTTACAGAATCAAATTTCTTGTGGTTGTTTCGTATACAAGTAAACTTAATTTTGATAATAAGAACCACAGCGATCTGAGGCAATCTGCCTCTATTATAAGGTACAAAACTGGCACAGAGGACACCATATTATACACAGTAAAAATGCCATAAGTTTAAATTACATTGTACAGGGCCACAAAACCCTGTTCTCCCAGACAGCCATATTAAATGAAAGCCACTACAGTGAACTCTTAATTACATAAAACATATCCATTATCTGATTGCCCTTAAGAAAAGTGTACTGGAGATGCAAAATTTCTCATCTGGAGTTCTGCCTGACCAAGAATTAAGCCTATAAATCTATCTTGCCATTCAAGCAGAGAGCACTGGACAAACTGAAGCACAAAACAGAAATAAGCAAAACTTATACAAACAGCATCTTGAGAAAAAAAGACTTAAAAGCAGACATGCTACATCTAATGTCAAGAAGCAGCTTGGTTTCCTTTGCCAGCTATCCTTGTGACCACAAGAATCGTAGATTCAATGGTCCTACACAGGGTGTCTAAAATGTCATGTTGCTGCATGTGACTAAAGAGTCCTCTGGAATGGCCACAACTGAGTGATAAACTAGTCTCAGGATCCTGGGAGGACAAAGCTTGGCCATCGCAGTTTCTTAAATCGGTTAAGTCAGACAAAACTGCAGAAATTGAGGTGGAAGGGAACTCAGGTTCCTCCTCAGTTAAGTTAGAATCCTTGGAACTCTGGGGATCTTTAAACTCTCTACAGACTTCTTCAAACTTGCCACTGCTGGACTGATCTTCCATATGCTGTGACCTAATATTTGAAATGTCTTCTGAAAATGAAGATGGAACTTCCATTCTGTACTCTTTGACAGAACTGTTTTCAGGGGAGGGAGGATCTTGCTCAGTGCCTGGATCAATAATTGAAGAGTCTCTTGTCTCATTATCTGAAGTGCTCGTTGGAGTCAATACCTCCCTTGGTTCAGTTTTCATATCACTGATGCAGCTGTCAACAGTATGTTCCTCATCACTGCTAACACGCCTTCTTTTAACAGGAGTTGCGTCTTCATCATCTGTGAAAGAAAACATCTGGACTGAAATGTTTCATTTCCTAACATAAATCATTAAGCTCAGCTGAGGGTAAACAAGTTTGCTTTACAAAAATTATTAATAGATCATTTTTCCTACTTGTATTTGAGAAGTAAGAAATCAAATTTTCATTGCTCCATGGTAAACTTCAAAGGTTTTTAATTTCATCATTATGGGCACTGCCTTCTACTGGCACAGCCGGCAAGCCCCCTAATAACTCAGCAGATGATCTTCAAGAGTTGTCTCTCCTCACTATAAATATGTCCATAAAGGCCCATACTTATATCTTTTCTGGTCTGGGAGTCAGACTTCTCAGAACTGATACTCCCTCTAATAGCTCAAGAACCCAAGATCCCCTGCATCCCTCCAAGTACTGGAAGAAAACTTTAGAGAAGGTAATCTTTGGTTCAACTATGTGTATGTGTTTAAAAAAGGAGGAAATCATACTATGAATAAGAACTTATATTGGACTTTACATGTTTTTACATATGTTACACTTCAATTTAATAAGTGAGAATTAAAGTCTTTTTTGTCATTTTTCATCCTTCAAACCAAAACGATGAAATTCTGTTCTTGTTTTGATTCTTACAGGAAGCAACTTGTTGCCAAAGTGAAAATGATATGAATCTTGTGGAGGAAAAGTGACCACTTGGTTCCTTTTAAAAGTTTTTATTCAAAAGATGAGGAAAGCTGATTAGAGTTTGAGATAGACCCTACATTCAGGGAGCAGATTTCAAAGGGTTCATAGGTAGGATCCATGTATTAAAACTCAACAGAGCAAGTTAGCCCAGAAGAGATGGGAAACTCAAGAATGACATCCTGAAAACATAAAAGGAAACAATTCTAAGAAGGAAAAAATTAAACATCTTAAGAGACTGTTGTGGATACAGAGAAAACTCACCTACCAACTTAGATATAAAAAGATACATACAGAAAATAGAGCAGGCAAAAGATGAATACCAATGTGTGGCACAATCATAGAATAGTGTCAGGACTGATAAAATAGAAAATCAGCTTAGGCTAGTGAAGAAAGATTTTAACATCAACAAAAAGTGGGTAGTAAAAAAAAAAACCTACATTCAGGAAAAGAGGACCAAAGAGGGATGGTACTGCTGCTTGGAATCGTTGGTGCCATGACAGTAGAAAAAAGGGAAGGTAGAACTATTCAATTTCCTTAATTTTTATTTTCTCTGCCAAATAGAATGACCTTTGAACTGTATAAATAGGTAAGCAGTCCCTGGGAGGCTCTTGATGAATTCAAATCAATTGCCCAAGATAAACAGTATCTTTGGGTTCTGAAAGAACTGGTGGATTTGATTGCTGAGTCACTCTCAGTGATATTTGAAAGATCATGGAAGAGAGGTACTGTAGGAGAAAAGTACATTTTTTAAAAAGTGACTAGAGTCAGTGAGTCTAACTTCAATTCCTTGTAAAATTCTGTAACACATTATTAAAGAGATGGTTAGGGAATATCTAGAAAAGGTAGTGAAAATCACAAAGAGCACAACCTTAGATCATATGAGACAGTCTAATTTTGTTTTTTGACAGTTTGATAACGGAATGATGTTGTTTACTGGATTTTAGCAAAATAGTGATAAAATATCATACTATTCATATGTAAAAGATGGAGAGATGTGGGCTAGATTATAGTACAGTTAGAAGGTTTTAACTGGTTAAATAGCCAGTCTCATCAGTGGTTCAATGTCAAGTGGACAGGAAGTCTCTAGCATAGTGATCCAGGGATCTATGCTATTCAACACTTCAAAAAAAATCAATTTGGATAGAGGCATAGATGGTGTGCTTACCAAATTTGCAGATGGCACAAATCTAGCGGGGTTAGATAACATCCTAGATGACAGTCAGAATTCAGCAGCTGACCTTGGCAGGCTATCACACTGGGCTTAATAATAGTTAACCATTGCACTTATCATTGACGTTACAATTATTGTTTATTTGATCCTCACAACCATCATGGGAGGTAGATGCTATCATAAGCCCTATTTTACAGATGAGGAAACGGAAGTAAACAGGTGAAGTGACTTGCCCAGGGTCACACAGCTAGGAAATGTCTAAGGTTGGATTTGAACTCAGTTGTTCCTGACTGCAGGCCTGGAACTCTATCTACTGTGGCACCTACAACTTAAACTAATAAGATAAAATTTAAAAGGGAAAGTGTGAAGTCTTACAAGGGATAAACAAATCAACTTCGCAAGTACAGAATGGGGGAGGTGTGGTTTGCCATCATTTTGTCTGAAAAAAGATCTGACTTTTAGGTGTCTGCAAGCTCAAAATGAATAGTGTGAAGTGGAAGCCCAAACTAATGTGATCTTGGGCTCAAAGAAGAGGCACAGTTTCCAAGAATAATGAAGAAGAGTGACTGTACCACTGCACTGCTCTGGTCAGACAACAAGTTCTGGCTGTCACCATTAAAAAAGGATACTGATAAGCTAGATTGTGTCCAGAGAAAAAGGCCTTTACGTTACGGCATGTGAGGCTTGGTTACAAGAACTAGAGACACTGAACTTGGAAAAGAGAAGATTCACTAGGGAAATGATAGCTGGATTCAAGTACCTGAAGGGCCTCCATGTGGAAGAAAGATAACAAACCTGTTCTTCTTGGTTTCAGAAGTTAGAATCAGGAGTGGTGGGTACAAGTTACAAAGAGACCAATTCATGATTTCAGGAAAAAACTCCTAATAATTAGAACTGTCTTAAAGAAGAATGGGCAGGCTTTGAAGGTGATGAAAGCTTAATGACCACTTATCCAATAATGTACTGGAAATCTTTTTTGGGTACTGGTCAAAATAGATGACCACTGAGATACCTTCCAACTAAATTCTGTGAGATTCTCACAACAACCTCAAGATAAATACTCTAAGTATTATTTACATTTTATAGAAAATAGGTTCAGATGAGTTAAGTGATCTTGCCCAAAGTCACAGAGCTAAGTGACAGAGCTGGGACCAGAATTCAGGTGTGACTCCAAACCCTTCTAAACAACCTTTCTACTATGGAACTCTTCCATGAACTACATATAGTCTTCTCTCCCCACTCCACAGAACACAAGTTCAGTTTCATACCTACCTTTAGTTTTCCTTTCTTTGGTTTCTTGTTCTTGGAGTGAATTTCTTTGTTGTTGACAAGTCCTGCACTTGCTTAAAAGCTCTTGAAGAGTTGGGATCAGAGCTGGGTTCAGTTGTTTGGGAGTGTGCACCGAAAGGAGCAAAGCAAGTGCCCGAAGGTCCTATAAAAATCCATGATAATATGAAAAACTTCTAAAAATATTTTTTTTGGTACATAAAATTTACAGTTCACTTAGAAATCTTCTCTTGAAATCTTTCCTGGGTCCTCTGAGTATACTCCTAATACCAAGCACCCAGACAATTACATATGGGGCCAGAACAAGTTACAGAGCTAACTAGTAAACTCTAGGAAGAAAGCAAGTTAGCAAAAATATGTTAGGCCCACAGGAAGGCGTAACTATTTCAAAACATAAACCAAGGGAATTTCACTTCGTATTATGAGATGACTGGCAATTGCAAATAACTTATATGTGACAATCTTTTAGTAGTTCATCTAAGATCAAAGAGTATTTCACGCGCGCGCGTTTGTGTGTGTGTGAGAGATTCATGACCTGATCTCTAATGGTT